CTCCAATCTTATGAAGATAGCACAAAATGCAGCTGCTTGATAAAAAAAACGCATTCAACAGGGGGAAATATATCTTTGTTTCAATCTTTAATTTAGTTCCATGACAAATATGTGAGTTTATCTGCAACTCGGTTATTTGCGATTAGCGTTAGCGTCTACTCTAACAATGACACTATATGCTATATGTCAGCAAAAGAATATTAAGCTTACTTCATATTCTCTTGATGTCAGTTATCATACTGATAAGCAAGTGTGGCTGTAAATATTTCTCTCTTTCATACCCGGAATCTAATGTGAACTTGAATCGAATGTTCTACACTCAAAGCGCAAAGCTAATATCAGTAAAAAGAACTGTGGGTTAGCGAATATATGTTGGGTAAATAAAATTATATGAGTTGAGGCTCACATGCGAAGAACTTGAGTCCCCTTATTTATACATGTCTTCAGTACGTATTTATTATCTTTTTTGTTTCTTTCATCCTTTTTGGTCCTTTTCATTCATCTAGGAAAGGCATCTGCTTTGCTCAYGCACTCCTGCAATTTGCGATCAATTTCTGTTTGTTCAAAGTTGACAGGTACTGGTGTTAATTTGTTTTTATGAAACATATTTAAGAGTAATGCATTTCGGGAAAAAAAAAACCAGAACTGAAAGTAAACGCGAAAAGACTGGAGTAGCATTATAGAGATCAAATCCCATTCATTGAAATCATGGGTACTTTAATTCTTTCGAGCGTACTCWTGAAAAGAAGCCTTCAGAGCGTTGCCTTGGAATCTACTGCAATGGGGTTCGTTTTCCTTTTGGGCCTTCTTGGAAACACTTTAGTTTTCTGTGCCATCAGGCGAAATCCGCGTCTTCGGACCATCTCTAATATGTTTRTGTTTGGTCTAGCAGTGAGTGATATCTTAATGTCTGCTCTGTGTATGCCTCTTTCATTAATAACACTAATACATGGTCAGTGGATTTTTGGGGGCACGGTTTGTCAAGCTCATGGCTTCTTTGTGTTTACCTTGGGATTGGCTTCCCTTCATATGATGGCTTTAGTCTCGATAAATCGTTATTTCTGCATCCTAAAACCATCGAAGTACCAGAGTCTATTYAAAAAGCGTCGAACCATCCTTCTTATTTTCATTGTCTGGGTCGACGCTTTGGTTGGTTCTATTCCTCCCCCCTTTTTCAACTTTGGGGGCTACTCTTTYCAGCCGGGAAAAGCCATGTGTCTCTACGAATTTGAGAAAAATATTCTCTACACGGTGTTTATCGAAGTTCTCTTCATAGGAACTCCCTTATGTGTTATTGCTCTGTGTTACACGTTTGTGTTCAAAGAGGTAAATCGCACTAACAAAGTTTTTGTCAATGATGAACTCRGCCCAGAAGAACTTCGTGCTCATGTCAAGGAAGCAAAAATAACAAAGAGACTTGCAGCTGTATTCCTGGGATTTGCATGTTGTTGGATACCAGTGAGCGTGATCGATTATATCGATGCGATAAATGGCTCACCGCTCTTATCAAGACATGTCTACCTAGCGTATGGATTTCTGGTGTACATCTCGAGTTTAATCAATCCAATTATCTATGGGATTGCAAGTAGATCGTTTAGACATGAATGCAAAAGAATGTTTAGAAGCATTTTATGTAATTCTTCATACTGTAGTAAACCTGTACTTMAACCTGGCAACTCTGCCTTTAAAGAATCGACGTGAACACAAACGACAAAGCCACATATTCGACCATCTTGATACTCAGTTGTGGTTTGGAAAAAACTTGAAAAATAATAAATATAAAGAAAGATGCTACTTATTTGCACTAGCTGTATATAATGCTTGGACGATAGTGACTGATGGGGGGAAAAAATCTAATATCGAACTGTTAGGAGCGAAACGGTAATTAAGAAGCCATCTGCTCATTTGTTTATTCGTAATAGAGGGTAGTAACCCATTAATTTGTGCGTGTGTGTGTGTGTAACTCTTTGCTCCTTTTAATTCAACCGTTGTTACAAGCAAATMAACGATTAAAAAGCTCAGTGATTTCAAATTTTGCATTTTCTTATTTAGCGTGTTTTACATGTAACTTTTTAAAACCTACTCAGTTTTAAATAAAAAATAAAGAAATAAAACAAATAATCTTTCAGTTTTCATCTTTATACTCGATACAGTAGTGGTTCTTTGGAACTCCCCTTTGTCAAGCCGTTCACGCTTAGTAGAATTTTATTGAGATCATGGTTTGTCCTAAAAATGCGGAAATCTGCAAGACAGCGTTTCTGGGACCCCCCTTTTTGAAATCCTGGAYCCACTRCTTTTATATATTTGAATATGTATTTTTCGAAGCTTTTTCTGTCTTTGTTTGTTTTARCAGTCTTCTTATCTCGTCAAGTTGSSTTTTTGAGAGAGAATCGAATTTTTCTCAACCAAAAACGATAAAGCGTGGGTAAAGAGTCTACTTTTACGGCCCCATTAACGCACGTTGCATTTTGTGATTCACAAACAAACCCRTCAGTTCTAAAACCTTTTAGCTGTCTTAACTAAATAATAAGTAAACGAATTCATTTTATGAGATTGAATTAAGATCTTACGATTCTGTCGACTGATGCAAAACGTCTTCTTATTTTTATCGGTATAAGATCTTACTTTAACTCTATAAAATCACTTATGACGCTTTTTCACTTTGTCTTTTATAGCTTATTAATACCGCAGTGCTTCTGAAATAATTAAGRAGAAACGGGCGTTAATGGCATGCAGTATTAAATTATCACATCTGGTTGTTTATGTATAATTTTAATGTTCTTTTAAGAACATTAAATGACTTAAAAATAAGAAAAGCAAACGACTTCACCGACATATCTAATTCCTATATTTGATTATATATATTTTAGAATCTAAGTTTTGTATGAGGATTCCGTTTTCAATGGCAACTGAAATGACTGAAACGGGTTATAAAGTTAAATCGGAGCATTTTTTACTCTAATAAAACAGATGCACCTGCTACTGAACAGAAATATTCAAGTCAAAAGATGTGTTTTTGGGAAAGAAAAAAATATTTTCCACTGCACCAAAACAATYAAGTGCAATTTCCTATTTTTGACCTGCCATGACAAAATTATTGATTCATTAACACCTTCCTTACTTTAATGCTGAGATAAAGCAATCATTAGACTGATAAAAGAAAGAAAGAAAKAAARACAAATTTAGTCCTRTTTTAGACCTGCTGACAAAATTACTGATTTATTAACACCTTCCTMAATCAATAAAAAWGAAAAGAAAGAAAAGCAATCAAACAAGGAAACGAAAAGAAAAACAATAAACATGTTTAACGCCTTCCAAAAGGTTTGTTATCCTGATCATTCGATACTATTGAAYATTGCTAGTCACGTGAAGAAGATACTAGAATGATGTTTTACTTCGCCTGTGAAACAAAAAAGTTGTAGAGTGATTTTTCTTCGCCYGTGAAGTAAAGTTGTATTATTTAGTAACTAACAGTCAAAGTATAACAAAAAACGATGACTTTTGTCTCTACTAATTGTATTGAGGACGTTCATGGGCAAAAGATCCCATCGTCAGATTTTTCAAACATTTTGCATGATGAAAGTACATTATATTGGAAGTAAAATAAGCAAATAAAAAATGGAGGTCCCCGACTTCTTTTAGCCGTCAGAATGCGTGGAATTTCACCCTTTTTACGGCAAAAATGCGCGAACAAAGTAAACATGGAAAGCTGTCAAAAATAAGTCATATTTTACTGAAAAAATAAATTGATCGTCCCTCTTTTTCGCATAAAATCTAGAAAATAGCCAAATAACTAGGTAAAGCATTTGAAATTTGTGTTRAATATTAGAAATATGAAATACTATTGGACTACAAGTGTGGACTTGATTCCTCTGCGTTTCGTGAAATTCTATTCYAATTATGCAYAAAATATGCGATTTCAAYTTGATCCCATCGTCAGATTCTTTTCTATTTTTCCTTTAGGTATTACTGACCAAGCTAGGTACCAAGGGGGTCCCCTACTTTGGTTTAGAGCTGTAAGAGCCTACTGACGTTTTTGTGATATTTTGCTTATCAAAACTTGGAATGACKTCATCACGATGAGCGCGCGCTCACTATAAATTCATGCGTAAATTTATGTCATGCGTCACCTGGTTAGCTCAGTTGGTAAGAGTGTCGGTCTGTTTTGCGGGAGGTCGTGGTTTATAAAGCCTCGGCCGGACCAACACTCAGGGTCTKAAAATAACTGAGAAGAAGGGGCTGCCTTTGTAATTACATCGAAAATCGTTAGACGTTCAAGTCTTCTCGGAAAAGGCCCTGTCTCCCAACCCTTCCTAACCTACAGTAAAATGGGAGACATAAAATAACCTGTTGAATTATTCGTGTAAGAGTATGGGAGTTGTCTCCCGGTTTGGATGCATGATACTAATCTACTAACTAATAATTATTAGGCCCCTAGAGATAATCAACCAGTGAAATTTCAACCAAATTAAATTTGGGACGATTTTAGTTCTGGTCCCCCTTTATTACCTTATTAATTAAGTAGTAAAATGTTTACATGATTAATTGATTTTCAAAAAGAATCTCTATTATGAGATTGGATATATGTTTGATACAAGGAACCAAAAATGCTGTTCTCTTGTATCATCAGAACTCTTGGCTGACCAGTTTCTACAACTTTCCCTTTCTCGATAACAACAACTCTGTCATAATCAAGAACAGTGTCCAGACGATGTGCTATGGCCAGAACAGTTTGTTCTCGTAGTTGGTATTTGATGGTGTCTTGAATGAGTTTGTCTGTGACAAAGTCTACGTTGGCAGTAGCTTCGTCTAGTACTATTATCTTTTTCTTCTGCAAGAGAGCTCGTGCAAGGCATAWKAGYTGTCTTTGGCCCACGCTGAAGTTGGRCCCTCCTTCCTTGACCATGTATTCAAGACCCTCGGGGATGGACTCTACGAATGATTTTAGTTGAACTTGGTCTAACACCGACCACAGCTGACTGGTTGGGCAGTTKTCAGTAGGATCCAGATTAAATCGAAGACTTCCTATGAATAGAAATGGGTYTTGTGGAATACAACCAATAGTACTGCGACTGTCTTGAACGTTAAGATCTTCAATGACCACCTGATCAATGACAATGGACCCWGAATGCACTTGAGGAAGTCGAAAAAGAGCTGATATGATAGAAGATTTTCCAGCACCCGTTCGTCCCACTATTCCAATCTTCTCTCCACATTGGATGTTCAAGTTGATGCCCTTGAGTGCCTGCGGTGCTCCAGGATAGTATGTCAGCGTGACATCATTGAAAGACAGAGACCCATTTGTAGGCCATTGTTGTGGTGGTCGAGTCTTCACTGCATAGCCAGGATTCCTTTCAAGGTCAGCGTATTGTATCACTCTCTCTACTGATGTCATAGAATTCTCCAAGCTTCCTATAGTAAAGGCAATATTCCACGTAGAGGCCAGTTTTATCGCATAGAAAATYAGAAAACCCACTGACGCTGAAATAAAAGATTTATATGATTACATCGGGTACTTTCTGTATTAAAGTTGGATTAAAATTAGGGATGTTTTTCTTACGGATTCATTGTTTAGAGTCCTTTTATGTGCATGCATTATATTTCACGTTATTGAATCAAGCTCTCGTCCCAAATCAGGTTGTTTTGAAACATAAGTAATATCCTGAATTTSACCAAATGAATAAACAAAACTCTCTCTTCACCTGTATCATAGTTGCGATCCTGACGCATGATCAATAAACGCCAAATAATCAACAAAACTTGAAATGAAGRAAAAAAATGTGTACGACTTACTGCTATCCTGACTGGTCAACAGAGAGACAACTGTAACGCAGATCACGCACAATGCTAACATCAAATCTACTCTTAAAACTATCCACGATTTGAGACCAAATACCACTAGCATTGCCTTATTCATGTTATCTTGATACCTGAGAATGAATCCATGCAGCACATGCATAAGTTCCATACTCATGAACTTCAATTCATATTCAGTTACACAGCATTGTGCTGTGACCATGATGAGCGCTTACCTTTGCATTTTGTTAGTTTGTAGGTCTTTTCGATCAAATGCTCTGATAATATGTGCTCCTTCAATGGTCTGCACGAAGTGTTCATAAACAGGACTTCCACATATGGCCATCAATCTTTGAGCCTCTCTTGACGCTTGTAAGTAATACCTTGCCTCAAATATTACAAAACATATCACAAGTAAAGTAGGCACAACCAATACTGCATTGGTGGCACACATGATTCCAAAATCAAAAGTGCATATAAAAAGCATCATGAATTCCCGGAGAGACAACTCCACTAGGGTATCATCCATCACAAACGTATCTTGTGAAAAACGGCTGAGGATTCTACCTGGTGGATTGATATCGAAAAACCTTATGGGACATCTTAATATGGTGGATACCATTTGCTTGTGCAACTCTTTGGAAGCATTCAGGCACAGAGTAAGTACACCAATTGTGGACAAAATGGAAATGGAAAAAGAGCAGAAGGCTATTGYTGAATAAATGTAAAGGTTGGTTAAACTCTGTTGCTGTTTGGGAGAAAGTTTGATCCAGTGTAAAAGCCAAAAGTAAGCGCCATTTGATGAGCCTAAAAATGAAATAATAACTCATCAGCAAATAAGATTTGGGGAAAATGCTGTTTTAAACTTTACAGTAGATATTCATTGGACTTACACTGGCTAAACAATCCCAGTAAAAATAAAATGATTAGGCCAGGAATGCTGCTTCCAGACCGCATGTACTTCCAGTACGTTTTGYAAGAGACTTTTCCCACGCCTTTCTCCTCTTCTTCCATTCTATTATTATCTTCATCTTCATCTTTCATTCGATGGTCCGCCTTTTCAGTTTCCTTCTCCAGCACAGCTTCATATTTCCCATTTTCTTTCGTACTTATTATTTTCACAAGACTTTCATGAGCCAGGTCTATCTCATCAAAGGTCCCGTGTTTAACAATCGTCCCGTTCTCCATGATCACAATTTCATCCACATCTTTCAGATAGTGCAAGTGATGTGTGACAAGTACTCGGAGTCGATTAGACAATAATCCCATGATACACTCATTAAACACATGACGACCGACATTAGAATCAACGGCACTGAGTGGATCGTCGAGTAGATAAATGTCTGCATCTTGATATACTGCACGTGCTAAATTGATTCTTGCCCGCTGACCACCACTGAGTCTACCGCCTCTTTCCCCAACGTATGTCAAATCACCATGTGGCAATATCTTAAAGTCGGTTTCGAGTGCGCATGATTTGACAACATCATCGTACCTATTTTTGTCAAAAGTGCTTCCAAAGAGAATATTGTCTCGTATGGTACCAGAAAACACCCAAGCTATTTGAGGGACGACAGCCGTGTTACCTTTGATGAGGACTTGTCCTCGCGAAAGTGGAAGTTCCCCTAGAATAATGTTAAGTAACGACGATTTGCCACAGCCGATCTTACCGATAACTGCTATAAGTTTGGATCCATTGGTTCGTAAGTCTATTTCGTTCAAGAGCCATTTATCGGTGACGCTGCTGTTGAATGAATGATGAGGAACTTTGCTGATAACTTTGGATAAATGTAGTCCAGGGATAATCTTGAGAGGAGGAAAATCTAGGTTCGTAATCGGTAATGGCTCGTAGTCATGACTATCTGAAGTAGTCATGATATGTTCCTTGAGCTGATCATCGTTAAGCTGTCCATCCTCATTTTTAAGCTCGTCGTTCAATAAAAGATCTTGAATTCTTTGTATTCCCACTTTAAGGTTGCTCACATATTCTATTTCATGCGAAAACCAGTATAAACGTGGAGGGAAAATAAACATGAAAGTCAATAGCGTGAAGACATTTCTTACATCGATCACGTGACCCGTATACAAGAAAGCAGTGATGGCTAGAAATGAAGCGTTGTTCACGAAGGTTAAGTTCAACGTATAAAACAAACCTCTAAAGACATTATTTCTGAAGAGTTCCTTGATTTCTTGCCTGTAATGAAATATACAATACAAATGTATATAAGTGAGTGCTAATCTCAAAGCTTATTAAGTGTTGGAAAAGGCATTGAAGAAGCGTTGAGGAATGAGAGTTATTCACATTGAAATTTTACCTTCTTGCTTGTCCAATTACTCGCTCCATTAATGTCTCCCACACATTCATCTTGATGACTTGTATTCCTGAGACGACGTCACATAAAAACTTCAAACGAAAATCCGTTGTCGTTATCAGCTTGACACGAATCTGCTGTAATATCCTACCAATTGCAAAGTTGCACATAAGGATGATAGACAAGTATCCGATGCATACGGCAGTCTCAATTCCAACCAGATGCCAAAGAAGCAACGCAACCACCAACAGCTCAAGTGGTGCTTGAATGAAGATTGGACTGAACATAAAAACGTATTCTAATCCTTCTAAATCCTTTGATATTAGACTCAGCATGTGACCAGAAGTGAAGTTGTCGAGATGATAACGTTTGCTGGAAATRATCTAAACCAAATATGGATCGGATATTAGTATTGATACATCATAGACTGACTGAACATCCAGGTGTTTGGTCGGTTTTTCTTTTACTTTCAGGAATATTGGTAAGAAATCAAAAACGCGAACTTTACCAAATGATTGCCTTTAGAATTTATTTTTGTAACATGATCGGTACCCTTCTAGCAGAGGTGCATATTTTCATTTTTATATTTTCGCAAGGACTTTTAGCTTACCGGCTTTTTATTTCGTTCTTTTAAAATGTAACGAAAGGAACCTGTGCTCGGGATTCAGCACTTTTCCGTTCGAATATCGTCACTAGGTCAGGTACGTCACATGGTAACATGAAGGGGTTTCTCGGTCAGTTCCAATTTATCAGCTAGAACTTTGAATGTTTTTTTTACAGTTTAGTCACGRAACGCTTCAATCCCACCCTCTGGCTAAGACGTTATCAAATTTTGTAATTTAGCTTTGAAATATTCATATTTGCAGAGAAGACGGCTGTTTACATTTTTGCGAGCTTTAGAAATGGGCATTCGACCTACAATTGAAAATTCTGATACATTATTTCATATTTTGTTCTGGATTGCCGCATTCGGCTACAATATTAGGGCTTCGAAGGAGCCCCTTTGGGGTTCTGCGCGCTCTAACAAGTGGCTTTCGAATCAGAAATATAATTATGGAGCGAGGAACACCAGGGAGATACTTCGACATGCATGGAATCATAGTTAATATGATGCAACTATAATGGAATCCAAGGTTAATGTTAGATATGCATGGTATAATACGTACCTTTTCATACACCAATCCAATCAAGCCAGACTTAACGTGAGAAGCGGTGATAGCTCCAAGATAATACAAATTTGCTTGCATAAAGGATTGAATCACACAAACTATTGACAAACTGATCACATACAGAACTGTTTGCCAAGATATTTGATTGATATTATTAGTMWCTGAGATACTACTCTTCGTTGTTGATGTAGGACCCACGCGAAATGCTTGACTGCTTGCATGAGGGCTTCCAAGTTTTGTCWCATTTTCAATTTGCATCAGTTCTTTAAGAATTAAATTCAAAAATACTGGCTGTAGGATGCGACAAAAGGTAAAAACAAAGAAAATCACCAAAATACTGTAGACGTGACATTTATCTAATGACTGAGCCAAGACTTTCCATAATTTTGGGTTGTTCGTCCTCAGCTGTTCTTTCCATTGTTTTCTATAGATTTGTAAACACTTTCTGGTAGAAGTCTGACCTGCAGCATAAGGTAGATCATTTTCCTTTAGWGGTCTTTGACTGGCGGTTTTAAGAAGTTTGGACAACCAACTGAAGGTTATGTGGGAGAAGATATTCACCGCTTTGGGTGTYGTTGAATCTGACTCTTCTTGTGATATCTTGACGTACGAGTTTTTGACCATGTTGCTTATAGATTTACCACGTCAAGTACSCAAGTACTGAGAAGTAAATAAATAGCACTGTAAGAATTAGGGCATTAAAACCAAAGTCCACTTCAACATGATATATTTCGACGACTGGATTTGCATCTTTCTTAGTTCAAATTTAATGCTTCAATAAATTGACCAATGTGGGCCGCCTCGTTTTATAATAGCTTAGTGATGCTCAACCAACCGCAATCAAGGGTATAATCCTGTTGTTTTAATGCCTATGTAAGAAGTCAAAAAAAAAAAAAAAAAACTCCCCTTGAAGTTTTATCACAAAACAATTTTTTTTTACCATCAAACAAACTCGCTTCATTTTTGGGCCTCACCCAAAAAATATTTGCTAGTATTTTTTAAATTAATCGTTAATTACGTAAAGCTATTTTTTGTGCTGATTTATTTACTTTGATCTTGAGCATTTTAATATCCGTCACTAGAAAAAAAAAACATCTCTTTGATAGTAGTATATTTAACAATCGTAGATGAAGTTTACTACGTCAGCTATTGAAAAGGGAACAACTCGCACTGTAAAAAGACTTAAWACTGAATAGTGGATCAAAACCAAAGTCTATATCACAACATCTATTTCGACGACTAGACTTTCTTAGGTCATGCTTAAGAATAGCTGATGTGATGCTCATCCAACTGCAATCAAGGGTATAATCCTTTTCTTCTTATAACCTTCACTCTGATCATTTGATTAAAGTTTTCCCCAATAGGATTTCAGTGTACGGCTAGCAGTTTGATTACAAATTATGAGTGACTTTTACCATCGAGGCTTCTCATAAGTCTTCGATGACTTAACTTTTTTAAGTATAGTTTGTTCTTGAATATTGTTTAGAGAGAAATACCGCCCTCCTTAATTGGAGTCGAGAGTTATTTGTGGATAATCAAAAWTTGAATTGGTAATGTTTAAGAGCAAGCAATTTGATCTTAAACATACTACAGTCTTTCCGAAGCGTGAATTTTTTACAACAACTCACGTAAATAACACATTCTGATTGGCTGAGAGCTATGATCAATAAGAGGACAGACACATGGATGACGTAATGTTTTTGAAAACAAGACTCGCCGGTAGGATTTTATCGTAAGGACTGTGATTTTGCGAATTTATTTTGCTAATAAAAGTCGACAATGGAACCAGAAGAGGAACCAAACTTTGAATTTAATCTTGCTGATAGTCTTGCCAACGAATATTTAGTTCTGGAGGCAGAAAAGATAGAGGAAGACGTGAAAAATTCATCTCGCTTTGCAACTTGCGAAGAAAAAGACTTGAATGAGCTTGTGTCAARTGCTAACGCGAAGGGCACAAAAAGAAACACTAAATGGGTATTAAAACTGTTGCAAGGTAGGTCAGCTCATTTTTTTCAAGAAAATATGCGTTAAAACCTAGCTAATATTGAAAAGGATAAAGAAATCTACAGAAATAATCTTACTTTCACTTTTAGTTACTTACGAGTTGTTGATGCAATTTTCAGAATGGTGCCATGAACGAAAAATTTGCAAGCCCTYGTTGGATCTAACAGAGGCCGAGCTAAATGACATCCTGAAACCAGAAAGGTGAAGAGTATAGCCGCTCCTCGCTGCTTGGGTTCAGGAATGCTGTTGAACGCCATTTTGCAGTCAATGGTAAAGYAATGAAGCTCACTAACAACCCAGCATTTTACAGCTCTAACAAGATACTGGAGAGCAAGCTGAAGGTCAACAAACGAGAACAGAAACAAAATACCAAACACAAAC